GGTGTGTGTGTGTGTGTGTGTGTGTTTGTGTGTGTGTGTGAGTGTGTGTCTGTGTGCAGTTTCCTGTGAGGGGTTGGTTTAGGGGTAGGGTTGGTGTATGGCAATAGAAAATACAGTTTGTACAGTATAAAAACCATTATGCCTATGGAGAGTCCTCATAAACCATAAAAACAAACCTGTGTGTGTGTGTGTGTGTGTGTGTGTGTCAGGTAGAGTGCTCAATATTTTTATGCAGTATACGGTTACTAAGAAATAAAAAAAAACATATAAACAAGCCAAGAGCCTGACTGGGCCTGACAACACAACACTGAGTTCATCACTGGAGTGAATTTGAGGAGGAAACTGTCTGTTTGTCCAGCCGAAGGAAGTGGTGAAGTAAAGAAACGCTGTTGCAGAAAGTATTCATTCATACTTAAATTCAGTCAATCAGTGCAATAAAGTCTTGCAGGATTGATGAAGGTATATTTAAGATTTTTTAAGACTTTTTTAAGGCTAAGTAAAGAAATTTTAAGGGAAATAAATATGTCAATATGTTTTCCTAATGTAAAAACACAATGAGTTGTATTAGCAACATTTCAAAATCTGAAAATACAACTTAACATCATCATTTTTTTATTAATTTTAGCATACATACATACATATATAAGTTGAACATCTCTGCTCCCAAACACTAGAATATGATGCTCTTCCCCGGTATTTTTGTCTTGTTTTCCAGTACAAATGTCTAAAGATATTTAAATCAAGAAGCAAAATGACATAAGATAAGTCTTGTTTTCTGAGGAATTTTAATTATGATTTAAACAAGAACAAATATCTGCCAAGTATCTGCCAATCAACTTAATTAAACAAGTTAATTAAAACAAGGTTTCATACCCCACTGACAGATATTTGCTGTTGCTTGAAGCATAACTAACTTAATTTTCTTCAGTTTTTTTAAGTTTTTATTTTACTTTTGCATCTCAAGTAAATGTATCTTGATTTAAGGATGTTTGGATTTTTGGAATTTTGAGGACAACATTCATTTTTTTGCAATGCATGCAACATATGATGCCACAACGAGTTTAAAGAGCCTACCAGTTTTAAGGTCTTAATTTGTGAAAGGATTAATTAAGACCTTTAAGGACCCGCAGAAACCCTGTCATGCAACTCATCTGCTTTAAAGGAAAAGTGCTCAAGCAGGCGGCTGAAGTGGGAGTGGCACAGAAATACCGGGTGTGTCTCCTGCTGTGGGTGTGGACGCCATACAACTCCACACTAGCACAAGTAACAACAAGTTCCTGTCTAATACAGGGAGTCTGATACACTCCTATCTTTTTTCTTTTCTTTCTGGAAATGCATCAGATCTCAGTGGGTCCGAATGTCAGATAAGCCTGAATCACTGAACCAGCCTGGACTTGAGGAGGAGGCTGAGGTGCGAGTAAATTCCAGTGAAGTGCTGTCATTATGTAAACCCTGCGCATGACTTTCAGCAGGGTGAGAAATCACAATCTTCTCAACCCCCTGCTATTTTTCCAGACAGCTCAGGAGACAAACTGGGCAACAGATTTGCTTTGTTAGTTCACCAAAAGTTAGTTCACGGTACGCTTTGAGCCAAGACTGAACACAGAAAATAATTTTGCACTTACACTGGAAGTTTATCAGGCAAATATAAAACAGATGATGTCAGTAGAGCATAACTTGTATTTACCAGGAATTTTCCTTCAGTGTAAATAAAGTCACAGTTCACCCAAATATAAAAAGTCATCATCATTTACTCACCCTCAAGTTCTTCCAAACATCCAAACATGAGTTTCTGTTCCCCACTGGGGGTCATTGGAAGTCAGTGGGGAGCAGAAACTGGTTACCCACATTCTTCAAAATATCTACTTTTGTGTTCAACAGAAGAATGCAATTCATCCAGGTTTGGAGGGTGAATAAATGATAGCTGACTGAGTTTTAATTTTTTGGGTGAACTGTGCATTTAAATCCAACAACTGATGGTAAAGTACAACAAATATACTAGTAACACAATAGTCTACAGCAGTCAAACATTGCAAAATAAACAAGCAATTTTAGTTTTTCGAAACACACAGTACTGCTGATGTCTTAAAATAGCTGAGAAAATTTCGCCATTCCAATAGGAGTTTTGCGTGAGAGCAAAAAAGTTCGCCATAAAGACTACACTCATGTTTAGGTTGGTCAAGCGAATCACTGCATCGCTAAAAAAGGTACAAAAATTCTCACTGTGATGGTAATCTTCGAAAAGGTACTTTTGTACCATTCAAAAGGTACCATTTAGATACTAATATGTGCACTTCAGGTACTAATATGTTATATTTAGTACCTTTAAGGTACTAAAATACACCCTTGAGCGGTAAATATCGTACAAAAGTGTACCTTTTGAAAGGTTACTGCCACAATGACAGCTTTTGTACCTTTTTTTCTGAGAGTGCACTGACCAACAGAAAGTTGCTCAGTTTGAAAGTGACTTCTGTGTGAGCTGTGCTTTATACATCTCTTGCAATAAAATTTGTTTCTTTGTGTCCTTTTCTGCACACAAAATTGTGCATTGTGAGAATTAGGTAGTCTTGACAACATTAGGGGTTATAGATCATTAGATGCACCTCATCTTACTGTTGTCCCTGCATAAGTGCACCATGCAATGAAACAATATGACAGCTAAATAAGTTACTTGTTAGTTAAATTGTTTTGTTTTTAGTAGGTAGATGGATTGAGAGTTTTTTCTCATAATAGTTTATTTATCCAATGAATGGCTCATACATTATAGCTTTGAACAGACAGTTGTGCAAAAGCAGGTGTGCTTAAATTGTGGCACAGAGACAGACCTTTTTCTGGTTGATCCATGCGATTGCCTCCTGATAGCTCTTGCTAGGGTCATCCCATGCGATAACCTCTGACCCAATGATCCGATTACCTCCATAAGTGGCCCTCCTGATAGTGGTGCCCGTGATGGAGTTTCGAATTTCTGAGTGAAAGGCGTGGCATTCCTCCAAACTGAAAGACAGAACGAGGATTAGATGCTTTGCTTTGAATTTATATTACTCTTTATTTGATTTTTTATCACAAATATCTGGGTGTTCAACAACTGTTCCCATTAGTTGATCTGTATTAAAACTAAGAGATTTCAACTTTTTATTATCATTGTGAATAGTTACAATAGAAATCACAGTTGCAATTTTTTAGACCAATTACATCGCTCCCTCATTTGTGATATCATTTCAAAATTGTGTGTACTTGATTATCAAAGAGACAATAATGTCGGCGAGTGACTAGCACGCTTGAAAGTAATTATGAGACATGCACTGTATTGTGTAAAAAAAAAAAAAAAAAATTTTTTTTTTCAATTGTGCACCATTTTCAATCAATTTGCAATTTTTTTTAATTTGTGCAAAAAAAACAAAAAAAGTGATAATATTAGCTATGAAATTAGCTTTCCCTTGTGGAAAAATAAGTGCACTTAATTGTACTGAATGTGGACTAGTACTTTACTTCAGAACTTAAAAACACACTTATTGCAGTTTTATTTTAATATCACGACGATACTACTATAGTTTTTATTAATATTTAGAATTTGTTTAGATTTTTATATTTTCACATTATACTGTATTTTTATTTTTTTTTTTCATTTTGATTGAAGTTACATTTTTAGTAATTTTGTTGTTTTTTACATTTTCATTAGTTTTTGTTTTAATGTTTGAATAGTTTTTATTAATTTTTATTTGTTTGGGTTATTTTACTTGATCAACTTATGCTAAATAAAAATACAAAATGTTGCCTTGATAACTAGCTGAAATTGAAATAATTTGAAAGACTTTTATATTTGATTTGATTTGATTTAAAGTTTAATGTATTTTTTTTTAGTTTAGTTTTAGTTAACTATATAACCCTGCTTTACTGTGTCTGTACCTGCAGACTTTTAAAAAGTGCTTTTTGCAATAATTTTAAAATTACATTTTACTTTAAAGTACATTTTACGTAAATCATTATGTCATTGCTGTGCTTTAAAGTACACTGACTAACATACTAAAGCACATGTAACAATTATAATTTTAACTGTAGTGTTACTTGATAAAAAATGTAAAGTTGATTTTGAATGTACTCAATTGCAGTTTTATCATTATATGTAATAAATGTGTAATTAAAAATAAAGAAGTTTATTGTCTAAAAGTCCACAATGCCAAAAGTGTCCACCCATTGCTACTGAACAAATTTCACAACATATTTCTGATTACTAATACTTCACTCATAGTGGGCTGGGCTGAGTGTGCTGAGTGGGCTGTATGCTAAAGTGTGCATTAAGTGACAGCATACTAAGCAGGTTCCATTTATTTATGTGACAACACACAATCACACACCTTCGGAGCACCATGTCATTGGGATGACCGGCATTGCGTAAGTCCACGGCATACTTATTCATCTGCTCAATCTGAGCCGCTGCCGAATTCATGTTTTTGTCCACTTCAGCTGCTGGTCCCATCTGCAGAAACATGACAGAAAAAAACATGGAAATCACATGGAAAGCAGTAAAAGATCACTGTGTGTGTGTGTCACATGCATACAACTTTGTCAAAGTGTGTGAATGACACTTACATTCTCTAGGATGTTCTGTGCTCGATTCAGACAGCCCATACAGTCGTTGTGAAGCATCTGAGCTCTTTTTTGAACAGACATGGACGACATGCTAAAAAAAAACAGACAACATCAATCAATAAAAATACAGTAAAAATGTTACATTTTGACAGATCATGTATTAGATCACTAATTATTTAAGGTATTTTAAAGCAAACAAATTGTTCATGTTTTGTTGAATTGATGTAACCATCATTCAGTTAAAAGACTGATCAGAAGATATTGTCAAACCGGAATAATAGTTCACATGTTGTGTTTAAAAACAAACAAGCCAGGTTACATTTTGAATGTCCCATAATTGTAATGCATGCATTTACATGCAAAGTTCACATGCACAACCATTTTATGAAAGCACTGTTTGATATAATACAAAATACATATAATACAAATATAATTTTTGACATACAGTAAGTATAGTTATTCAATGAACGTATATTCTATAGCTCAGATGAGATAATTTTCTGACTTTTTTAATGCAGACTTTAGTAACAATAAAACAGTTGATATTTTATTCATGGAAACCCACCTCTGTCCACCTCCTCCTCCTCCTCCTTGTGAGTTTCTGGAGAATGTTTGTGCAATGGTCTGCGTATAGCCATCATTGAACTCAGACTGGTATCCATTTCCACTCATCATGTACGGCGCAGCGTCATTCCTGGGTAAACTGTAGCCCACGGTGGTCAGATCGGGTCGGGAGTTGGATCTGCGGCCGATCTGGTGGAGTCTGGTCTGAGATCCGGACAAACTCATCTCTGTAGAAGAGTGCAGCACCAATTCAATGACCAGTCTCAACCAAAGAAAGCGCAAGGAAAGTTATAAAAGTCCTCCTGTTCTCCTCTACTCTTGTTGCGCGTCTTTGCCCGTCGGTGAGTGCGCAGAGACTGGCCACTGCGCTCTGGATAGTTCCGGTTTTGCAGTTAGACCACACCTGCACACTCTCACTGAGGCTCACTGAACTCACTGAGTCAGCCTGAGGACAGTCTTCCCACGAGGCGCGATATCAGTCATCGTCACTTTCCCACGGAATTCTTTCATACGGTCAAATTATTTTTTCCTCCTTAAAGTATTTTTTCACAACTGCTTTTGGAAACTGAACATCAGCCAACAAGCTGCACATACTTTCTATCAAAACCTTAAGGATGTCCTGTGATTTTTCCTGTTATTATTATTGTTGTTTAACTAAATTATATATTTTAAATATATATTTTTTGATTATTTGACAGTCTGTTTTAATTGATTGGCACAAAGAGAGGTAGGCTACAGTATGTCCAAGGTATCCCATATCATAACAGAATCAGTCAAATGGGAAACATCTTACATTTGTTAAAAATATAGTTGTATGAAAATGACGTCTTTAATATGGTCAAATAAGGACTTTTTCACTACTTTTTAAAATTTTGTCTCTACTTTTAAGCCAGCAAGCATTCTCTGCATTCTCTCAAAAGCATAAGATGTCCTTCATTCATCTATCTATCTATCTATCTATGTATCTTTAATTATTATTATTTTTATTGGCTTGACAAGACCGAACAGTATGTGCAAGGTATCCCATATCATAACAATCAGTGAAATGAGAAACATGTACATCTCACATCAGTTAAAAGTAAAATTGCATCAATAAATGACATGGGATTGCAGGGAATCAGAAGAAGCATAAAGCACACCCTGTCTGACTCAAATACACAGACTCAATCCGCAGAGGACTTTCCCCCGTGTGTGTGTGTGTGTGTGTGTGTTGTCCATGGGAGAGCGACACACCCACCTCACCCAGCCTCACACACCACACCCTTTACAGTACTCTGTGATTACTGGGAGGTTCTTGACAGGTTAACTTGGAAAAAAAGTGTAGTATGGTGGTAGTACAAAAAGTGTGTAATTGTCCATTAGCCTGTTTGATAAGTGAAAAGTACTACGCATAATGTAATTTTGCATTAATTTACCATTTGGTGTGGGAAAGTTAGGAACAGAGGTTAAATTTGATGAAAAAGACTCATTCAAATCTGAAAAAGACTAATTTTATTCCATATCTCAGCATTTCAAACTATAATTATTGAAACCAGAGTTCATTTCAACATAGTATGTATGCAATACTATGTGTCAACATGCACAATATGAATTTTTAGCATTCTACCCATTAAATTTTGCATCACAGCAAGGCTCCTACACAAACGTATCTAAACAAACCAGTTTAGTTTTATTTTGCAAACCTCTGGTTACATTTAAAGACCAGATGGAGATCTGAAATTAAAATCCATCTTTCAAACCCTTAACTCTCAACAAATTAAAGTTTACAGTTGAAATTTAGTTTCTATCAATCCAACCTCTCTCAAGATCTGGTCCTTATAATTGTACATATCACCTGTTAATCATTAGCAGAAAACTAAAAGCTGTCACTATTATTATTTTTTTTAACTTAGTCATCAAATATGTAAGTCTTGCTCACACCTTATAAAGAAGTAATTTTGTAATAATGCGAGTTGTTTTCTTGTGAATGTATGTCATGCTTAAATTTAATTATTTTTAACATTAATGAAATATATAAGAATGTTATCGGTGCTGTATTTCTCTGATTTAGGTCCTACTTAGTGGACAAAAACAACTATGTGGCATTGTCTACACACCTCCAGGCATCATGTGCCATGGTGGTGTCCCCCAAGACTCAATACTGGGCCCATTATTATTTAACCTATACACAGTATATGTTTCAATTAGCTTGTGCAGTTAATCAACATAACATCTCTTTTCAATTCGGTTGTATGGGGTCCAAATGCTCTGTCAAATCCCAAAAGCACTAGATGCTATCAATTAACAACATGTTGGTGTGCAAAGAGAGCATGAATGTGTGTATGTCAGTGAACTTTCTGCAACCAAATAAAGATAAGATAGAGACCACAGTGAGATAAGATTTAGCTCTATTTTATTTTTTTCGTATTTTTACTGCTTATATTATTATAGGGAACTGAGATGTTTTCTGTAAACCACTTTGAAAAAGTGCTATAAAAATGCTCATCTTTCAAATTAGTTATGTGGATAATTGTTTTAAATTTTCAGATTGCATTTAAATTTTAAATCCAAAAAAAGCTAGATCTTTTTTTTTTTCTCACAGAGAATGCCATGGTGTGCATACTTATATGTTACTGATTGCTGTCTCTGACTGGGAACACAGTGCTTAATCTTGTTTAACAAGAGTGGCGCACACACCTACAGACACACCAGTCAAGCCCTTAATAATTTTCTGAATTCATTTCTTTCAGTACAGTTAATTGTTGCACTTCTGGAAAGAGCCTACGCATGAACGAACTTGTCCATGTTATAAATGTAACGACTGAAAGACTGCCACAGTTCACATACAGTACATACTTGAAAAGCATGGCAAAACAAGAAAAGAACATCGCCCAAGCCTCACATACCACACTTTACCTGATCAGCATATCTCAACCTGGCTATACAGTCAAATACTAGAACTAAACAAAACACTAAAAAAAACTCTCTCCACATATTTAGTAAAAAATCATAAATAAATGTAGGCCTATTGTTATCTCAGAGGTTGTATTGTTGTGACTCTTTTGTTTATCTCTCTCTCTCTCAGGTCCTGCCCTAATTAAACATGTCAGTAACTTGGTTGGCGATGGTTGGCCATAAAGAAACTTGTTAAATATGTTGTGGAGTTGAGGAAAGTGGTTGTTGTTAAGAGTTTTGGTGATAATGGTGAAACAGTAAAATTCATCTAGTGCATTAAACAGTTTTGAGTGTTTACCCATTATTATAAATACTTAGGAACAAACATCAGGCCTGCCGGACATCCCTCAGGTGCCTCAGTCAAGGTTTGTCAGATGCAACCCTAAATGCCCCAGGCGATGACCCTCACCATGCAGGCCGAACTGCTGTGACCTTACCATTACTGGAGCTAGCTAGAAAGACAGTGTGGTGCACAGTGATGTAATTTATTATCTGAAGGGGATCTTTGGGAAAGAACTACCCAAATCCTGCCTCTGAGACAAACTGAAAGACATAGTTGGAGGTAACCGGGATGGGGTCAGTGGGACTTGAGTTTCCACCTCCAGTAGAAGGTCAACGCCATCAGAGATATGCCACCCAATGTGCTGAATGTGTACCTGGAGGGAATGAGAGAAAATCTAAATGTTATGTAAGTACACAAAGGCAAACTTGTTGATAATGTCTCTCAGCACTTCATAAACGAGTACCTGAAAAAAACATGCAGGAAAGCTCCCTTTGTTAGTGCACAGCCGGCAGAAATCCTTTTTTCAAACAATGCTATGGAAACATTTCACTTCAGAAAGTTTCTGAACAATATGACTTTTGCCTTCAGATAAAACAACATTGTGCACTGATTTCAGAACCTTCACTTGCAAAGGTTTCTCCGTCTACATGTTCTAGTTTGCCTACAAATTAGGCAAATTAGTCAAACCTAGGCATTGGATAAGTATTGAACTTTTGACAATGTGTTCACCTTGTGGTAGACTACAAGGACATTCTTGGTTCCAGGAGTTCTAAATTCCCTTGCACTTCATGTTCAAGGCTGTTGAAACAGAATGCAACTCCTTCCACTCACTACAAAATGGCCCAGCACAACCAGTGGAAGTGCACCGCCACTGGACTCATCACTTGACCATGCTCAATGTAATTATCACTTAACCAAATCGTAACATGATCAAAGTTGTGGGAAAAAGCAAGCAGGGGCTGAGTTTAAGTCTCCTGACTCCTGATCACACCACACCACACCACCCCTACCACATACCCCCACCCCCGACTCCACCAATCGGTAACCACCATCTACACTCCCAGCCTTTGGACAACTGTAAAGTTCACATAAAGTTAACGCCAAAGAGCTAGCGATGAGGAAAACTGACTGTGGCGTCTCCTCGCGTTGCCCTCGCATCGCCTGCGTCGGGGCAACAAAAGTTGTACCAAAAAACACCGGACAGACTACAGCCGACGGCCAACTAGCATGTATGCTCTGCGCTTGCATGAGAGAACATAACTCTCCCATACCAGCAGGTGGCAGTAGTCTGTATTCGGCATTCAAAAAGGAAAACTGGAAGAGCTAGAACTGTGGAAATGCAACTTTTACCATTGTTTACACCAGCCGCACTCATTACTGACAGATTCATGTAGTTTTTTTTCAATCATGTCTGCTAAGTTGCAAACGGCACTGGCATTGTCAGCCATTGGTCTTCTTCTTGTGGATATTGAAAAAAAGAAACACGAGTGACAAGAATGACAACAAGTGTCTGTGCGTTCCCTATTTACTCCGTCGTTGGTTTGCTTTTGTCAGTTCCTTATTTGTCTTGTGTGCTCATTCGCCAAGCTGAATAACCAATCTGAGTTTTCTTTCTCGCCGACAAGCTCCGCCGCTGATTCGACATGTAGAATCAGCCGGAAAACTGCTGGCGGCATCCAACTAGAGCCAACGGAGTGGAACACACTGGAAAAAGTAAAGCCAAAAGACACTCAAAAACCACCCGACAGTGCCTGACGGCTGACCACTGGTTTGGTGTGTCTCAGGCTTTAAAGGGCTGTAAACCCAGATACCAATGGGTGATCTGCACGCTGGCATCCTTTATGCAGTGGAGCCATTGGAGTGGGGCATGGTTCAAATAAAGTGTGATGTATTGCCCGAGAAGTAGTGGTGGGTCACATACCTATGACCCAAGTGGAAGCCCAGAGAATGTACCTCAACCACCTGTCCAACTGCACACTTTTTAGGGTCTGCCGAGAGTCCTGTTCAATGTTGCAACCTCAGGTGCTGCATGTGCCTCTTCCAATCATTACTGAAAATAATGAAGGCAGCGGTTACGGCAGGGTTGGAGGACTAACATGAGGCGCTGAAACATACTGTAGCTGGGGCCTCAAACAACCTGAAAGGAAGAGTCACAAATTGGTGTAAGCCAGTGGTACTTAATCCTGGTCCTCTGAACACCCCGCT